AGGGAGGGAGGGAGGGAGGGAGGGAGGGAGGGAGGGAGGGAGGGAGGGAGGGAGGGAGGGAGGGAGGAGGAAGGGGGTCCAAGGCTGAGCATGGCTAGGCAGGAGCTTCAGACGTCTCGGGGGTCCAAGGCTGAGCATGGCTAGGCAGGAGCTTCAGACGTCACCTGCTCGAACTCATCGTCGGACTCGGGGTGCTTCATCCCCGGGGCGAGGAAGCGAACGAGATCAAACTGCTCCAGCAACTTGTAGCAGCACTGCTGCGTCTTGGGATCTCCAGTCTGACCCAGTCCTCCTCTCACCGCATCGAGCCCCAGCACCTGCACCCCTGCCTGTCAATGCCTCCCCTACGCATCTCCTCCTCCCTTCCACCTTCTCCCTCCCTCGCTCTCTCCTCCTCCTTCCTCCTCCCTGGCTCTCTCACCCTGTCTCTGACGAGGTTCTCCAAGCGCAGCTTCCCTGCCATGCTGACTCTGGTCGCATTGTTGTGGATGAAAGTGCCGATGGCGGCAGACAGTCTGTACATGGACTGGCGCAGAGTAAGAGGGAGGAGAGACAAGGTTTGGATGTGAGTGACGAAAAGCAGGAGCGGGAGGAGCGAAAGGAACAAGGGGGAGGACCGGAATCAGGATCAGCAGCAGCAGAGGAGGAGGAGGAGGAGGAGGAGGAGGAGAGAGAAGGTGCACAGGGAAAAGCAAGAGCTTACTTGCACGTCTGACTCCTCCGAGAACGCTTTCATGATGGAGCAGGAGGTTTTCAAGAATTTCTCCAGGACTGCAGCAGATGTCAGGATGAGAGGAGGAAGTAGAGGACAAGGAGCAGCGGTAGCAGCCTCCCCAGGAGGAGGGAAGGATGGATCGGATGTTGGAGAAGGAGACAGGAGGAGACAGGAGGTAGCTGGGAAAGAAAGGAAAGGGGGGGGGGGAGGGTAGGAGAGTTTGACCTTCATCGTTGATCTGAAGGCCGTTGAAGAGGACGGCAAAGTTGTTGAGGAGGGAGCTGTGAGCCATCTGGCGTGCGAGCTAGTCAGAACGAGGGAGGGAGGGAGGGAGGGAGCAGCAGCAGCAGCAGCAGCAGCAGCAGCAAGACATTGCAGAAGGGAAGAAGCAGAAGGAACGAAGGAGAGAAGGCAATGGAGAAGGGGACTGAGGACAGAGAGATGAAGGAGGAGCGGGAGCAGCGAACGAGCGAGAGTGGTCACCTGCACCAGCTTGTTCGACTCGGCCCCAGTGTCTTCAAAGACAGCAGCAGCAGTACCGACATGGAGCTGGAGGAGAGCTCGAGTCTCTGAGTGAAGGAAAAGATTGCACATCGCTCCTGCAGCTCCAATTAACAATCTGCTCCATCCCTCCATCCCCCCCGCCCTCTTAATTCTCCACCACCACTACCTCCTCCTCCTCCTCATCATCATCATCATCATCATCATCTAACAACAACAACAACAACAACAACAACAACAACAACA